GGGGGGGGTAATGGAATGATGTCTACAACAGCGGCCTGTTTATGGAAGCGTCTAAGCCAAGAAATTAAAGGCGAGCTTTGTTTGGGCGCCTAGTAAGTGTGTGCGTGCAGGAAAGAATGAGTTCATGGCGTCTGACCTTTATTTCATCTCCATAGAAGTGGGTCATGCTTGAGTCTGCTACCACCAGCGTCTCTATGAACCGTGGCGCGGAGACAAAGCGTCTCCGGCGTGGTTCCCTCCTTGCGTCACCGTCGCCGTGCGTAAATCTTTCCCCATTGTGCTGCTCCGCGGCCGCGTGATCAAACGGGAGGGAAACACCGTCGCTCTCGTTGAATGTTCTCCTCCTGATGACGTGCGGCTCCTCGGCAGAGGCTGTCCCGGGGCCGCCGTGGAGTTTGGGCTCAATCAAATACTCTTTGCCCTCCGTTACAAAGGAGCCAAAGATGCCCGAGCACAGACTGACAGCCACGAGTGAGTTCTGATCTCGATCCACGTTCCCGGAGTAAAAGCAGCTCCTCAGGTGGCCCTCGCTCTCCTCTGACCTGTTCATAAGCTTCTGGGGGGCGGCTCGGGCCCCTGGAGCGCTGCGTAAAGTTCCAACGTCTCTGGCTTTGACGCGCTGGATGGTGAAGGAAGGCGCGATGAAGCTGGTGTCCGGGACGAGGTTTAGAGTAAAGTCTTTGCCAAACGCACTGAGGACAAACCTCGGCTGCTCCTCGCTTCTCTTCCAGAAGCGCCCGCTGGTTCTTGCGTTTATCCGAACAGGTACAACATCCTCTGATTCAAACGAAGAGGCAAGTGCCGCGTCGACTACGCACAGCAGCGAAAAGAGCAAACACGCAGTGGCACACATCGTCTGCAGACAGAAACGCGCTGAAGAGTGGATCAAAAATAAAGACTAACAAAGATGATGTCCTCTCTCTCCTGCAGTCGCAATAACGTCTCTTCTGAAATGAAAGCGAGCTCAGAGTGTGCTGCTCAGCTTCGACCAGCTATCATTCCCTGCTCTGCCGCTCACCAGCACCGCTGCAGTCTGGACACATCGGGGGTATTTATACTTTCCCTTCTTCTCTGGACATGAGGGGGTTTATTTTTGATATCCTCCGTTGCTGGAAATTCTCCTCCCACTCACACTTCATGAGAAACTCGAGGATAAAACGGGTCCAATAAGAATGGGCCGACACTCCCCCCTTCTGAAACAGCTTGACAACCGCGCTCCTATTATTAACCCAGCGTGCTGTATGGCAGCGACAGGACATCTATACTACGCATAGCTGGGAGTCCGCTACGCGAGTTATTTCGGAGGTGTGTGAGTGGCAGGCCCCCACAGGGCCCGGAGCCCCCCACCCCGCCCCTCTCCAAATCCGGCCTGCTTCATCCCCCGCACAAAAGAGCAAGACGAAGAAAGGCGCCGAGTTTGCTTGGAACTGACCCCGGACACTGGGAAACGTCTAATCGCGTTAGTGACGATTTTGGATGAACGTTATTCTTCTCATATCTCCAACATGTGACGTTTGAAGAAGCTTCTTTTTAAATACTAAAATAAAGCAACATTTTACACACAGTGAATAAAAAACTGCATTTGAACTGAATGTTAAACTCATCAAATAATCAAAAACAAATGCCAAAAAATTCCTGCACCCCAAACAGATGTACAGGTCACGACATCTACCAGCAGAGGGCGCCAAAGCACAAGGACCGAGCGTTTGTGCCCACTCTTCGTTAGACACTAGGTGTCGTTGTTTGCCCAAAAATCAAGTTTCTGTTTTCACTTGTTCCCCGTTTTCTTTGGTAGAAGCTGGAGACGTGTCTCTGTAATGTTGACCATTCAATAATATTAGTCTTTACTTTCATGATGGCAACACTTGATTCTAGGAGGGTTTTGGTCTTGTTCCCAAATCATTCAATCTCTGTTACGTTTTCATCTGTTTTTGCCGAACAGAACAGAGGCCAGCGGCTGGAGCCCATCCTCCCTACCCCAACTTTGTACATTCACTGCTGTACTTTATTAAATTACAGATTTAATGTACTGATCCAGCAGCACTCAAATCACCTCCAGCTGCAACATTAAAGTGACATACACGTTATTACCTGATCCAGTGATATCATGTAAATGATTCTGCTGATGTTTTGATGAGATTGAAATTCATGACCAACGTTTATCAGTGTATCTGTTTCTGATCAAGTGATGCTCTGTGTGCTCATCTGAAACATGTCTGATTCAGTCTGAGCAGACTGCGTGGGGATGATGCTCATGTCGCTCATGCTGTACGGCAACAATAATATTTGGAGAGCTACAAGTGGCTGCGCTCTGCAGCACAAAGCGGGCAGCCTGGCCAATGAGCTGCGTCCTGCACACGCACTCAGATTTCTGTTTGACAGCGATGCTCGAGTTTAGCGCGACTTTAAAACTGAGCAGCTCAGAGAAGTTCGCGTGCAGACAGGAAACGGTGCGAGATGGGAAAGCAGCAGGGAGGACGCGCGAGTGCATAGGCATTTAAAAGACGCATGGGCTGAGCTTGGTGCCATTGCGCACAACTTCTTGAACGGCGGACTGTCCCGAGTGGGAGCAGAGATGGCGATGCCGAGCAGTTCTTTCGTTCTTTTTACGCAGTTCTTGCTTTATCTGAAGGTGACACATTGCATGGAGGTCGATTTCTGCAGACCTGTTCGCCTGAGTCAGAAAAAGCCCGGAGTGTCTTTGCACCGGCGCGCCGAGCAGATGAATGAAGATGAGATCGTGTTCAGACTTCGTGCATTCAGAGAGGATTTTTACCTCCATCTGTCTCCAGATCCGAGTTTCATTGCAGCTGGGAGTGTTTCAGCACCCGACACCTTCGCAGGCTCTGAATTCAGGGAATGCTTCTACTCCGGCGATGTCAACGCAGACCCCGACTCCTTTGCCGCGCTGAGCCTGTGCAAAGGCCTGCAGGGGGGATTCTTCTATAACGGCGTGGAATATTTTATTAGCCAGACCGAGACTGAAGACGCAGGGGCCGCTTCTGTGCCTGGAAACTCCTTCGACAGGACGCATATCATTCGCCGCCGCGGACGCGCACCGCACTCAGCTGGAAACTTCACCAGCAGGTGTGAAGTTCCACCTGACACCAACTTCACCGTCTCCCTGGAGAGATACAAGTACATGAGAGAACTGCAGGCGGACGGCTTGACCGAGACTGTGCTCAATTCCTTGGGGAGGTCTAAGAGGTTCGCCGCCGTCCCCAGGTTTGTGGAGGTGCTGGTTGTGGCAGATGAATCTATGGCTAAATTTCACGGGGATGGCCTAAAGCATTACGTTCTGACCCTCATGTCAGTAGCAGCCAGGCTTTACAAGCACCCCAGCATCCTCAACTCCATAAACATAGTGGTGGTGGGCTTCATGGTGATAAACGACGACGACAAGGGACCGAAGGTTTCCAGTAACGCTGCTCTGACTCTGCGCAACTTCTGCTCCTGGCAGAAGAAGTTAAATAAACACAGTGACAAGCACCCCGAGTACTGGGACACAGCCATCCTGTTCACTAAACAGGTAGGTCACAGAGCCAGAGCTGCATTAGAGATGCTTGTGTGGTGCTGCAGAGAGCAGAACTACTGCACTCATGGACGGATGATCAGAGCCTGGGGCCTGGGGCACAAACACATACAGGGCCCCCCGTCCACTTAGACACCAAGACTAAAACACAGCTGTAGCTGAAGTAGATGCATGATGATGCATTGTGTCATCCAGGGGTCTCAAACTCGTGGCCCACGTCAGCCCTACTTGCTGACATGAAGAAATATAACGCAGTTTGTCCCTTGAAGTGAATTTTAAAAGTCTTTAAAAAGCCAAAAATGATTTAATATGAAGACGACATGAGCAGAGAGCACAAACACGCTGAGACTGTGTTACTCAGTGACAGACTCACACTCATGTCTGCAGTTTGATTTGTTAAACACGAACACAACGACAGCAGCAGTGCTGCCACGTGTGCACAGAGAGGACCAGTGTGTGTGTTTGTTCAATGAAAGTTTGCAGTTTGGTCTTTTTATACAATATTTGACATTTTAAAAACAAACAAACAAAACATTTTAGGAAATATTTGTGGGTGTTTTCTTGTTTATTTGTTTGTTTTTGCACTACTTGAACATAAAGTGTGCGTCCAATGAGACGACAGAGCCAGCAGTGGCCCACAGCTCATGTAAGTTTGAGACCATTGATGTAATCGTTGTGTGTCTGTCTCAGGTTGTTTAGCATGTGTTTGTGGTTGATTAATGTTTTGATTGTCTCTTTGTGTGTTTGCGTCTGTTCACGTCACACAGTGAGTCTTTGTTGGGCCTCATCGCTGTTCTTCTGGGCATCATGTTGGTTTGTGTTTTGTAGTATCTTTCGTAGTACTTTGCTCCCCTTTGCAGTTGTTGTTGTTGCTTGAGGTCGTTTCCTGTCTCTGTTTTATCGACACTACGTCTCTGTGTCTTTTTTCTTTGCATTGCTGTTTGAAACTGTCTCTTTGCAGGGATTTAGTGTTTCTCCACCTCCTTGTAATTGTTTCACAGCTTTTTTGAGCTGTTTTGCATTTCTGTGTCTTTAGTGGCTGGTATAAATAGACGAGGGGCCCTGAGTTTGTAACCAGTAGTTTGATGCTGACTTTCCAGCATTGCAGGGTTTCAAACACCCATTTCACACGACCACAGCTAATTAAGGTTGTCGTGTTTATCACCTCAGTTTTAAAAGGTGGCTTACTTGTTGCTTCTAGGTTTGATTGTTGGAGTGTAGAGCAAGCCTGACGATGCAAACTCCCAGAGACCTTAAGAGTAATCCCCAGCAGCAGCAGCAGCAGTGCTTGTCTGGGACTCTGTGTCACAGGCTATCGTTATCAGGATGTGATAATAACACAAATGGCCAGTGTCACTGTGGAGACTTGTCATAATTCATGCACAGCTGCCACATTTACCCATCACCAGCGATCAGGAGGCTCAGGATAGGTGCAGCTACATCCCAGGACTTGCACAGCTCTGCGAGTCCCCTTTTCTGTTGGCTGCTGCAGTGCGTCAGTGGAAAAGACCAGCTGAGCCAGTTCTTTCCATGAAAGACCTCACCTCTATCTGCCTCAGCCCAATAAGAACTGGATCACTACCTGCCTGTAGTGGCCATCTTCATACTATCAAAAACTCTGCAAGAATCCAGCTAGAATTCCAACGACTCCCTCGTTTATTCAAGCTGATGTAAGTTGGCACCGTCTGAAGAGTTCAGCCTGTTCACAGCTGTCAAATAATCCCATGTGGTCACCAGAGCCGTAAACATTGGCTGGTAATTCTTACTTCTCCGTCTCTCCCTCTTCAGTGCCTGCTCATTATCGGGGGTCATTTTTCCATTAGGTCCACTTTGGCTGATCGTCTGATACACGTCGATGATAACATGTAGCAACATACAGAAACATTTACGTCAAAGAGAATGAAAACTTGTTGGGAACCCTCAATCACACTGTACACTGTTGTATATAGGAAAGTCCAGGTCCAGTGCTGCTGTCCTTGTAGGGCACAGTGACTCCAGCTGCTGCATTGGAAAAAATAATGCAATAGGTTATGAAGTCTAAGATGTGTGGAGTACACATGGCTGGCAGTGTGTTTACAGCCTTACTGGGCCAACACTGCGTTAACACGTTCATTTTCAGCTGTCTTCATATTTACTTGGAACACACAGGTACACGAGCCACTTGGCCACAAAATCATTCCTGACTTGACATAATGAAGCAGAGACACAAAGAAACCTTTTCAGTGAGCTTTGCTACAAAATTACTGATAATCGTTGAATTGTGGCCATTAGTCCAAGAAGAAGTTCAGTTTGCTGTAATGTTGAACACCAAGCATGTGCAGCGATGCTAAAGTCAAAGACTGATGTGGATGTAAGCAGTGACTCATTCACTAGTCTATTTGTATTTGTTAGTGTCACTTAGTGTTCATAGTGAGTTGTTACATTACAATCTGTTAATCATGTTACTAAGTTATCAAAAATAAACAGTGTTAGCGTGGACACAGAGTGTTAGCCTATTGGCTAATGTAGCTCTGGCTGTGCTAGCTCTATCAGGTTTGTATGAGGTAAATGTGGTTACCACGACACCATAGCCACAACAAATAACCAGCAACAAGCTTGGTAACATCTCTCAGGGGGACAGTTTTAGTTGAAACCTCGCTAGTGTGGTTTCTGAGCTGTGGTGGTGGCCCAGCCATGGGGCCAGAACTGTGGTACACTACTGACTCTGAGGCTCGCTTTGCTGGCAGCGGGGAAAGACCAGCTAACGGTCAGCTAGGAACCTCTGTGGATTATGATGTTTGAATCTGTAGTGAGAAAAGGAAGCAGATGGAAGATAGCATGGGGAAATGGAGGAATGCTGTGCAGAGAAGATGAATGAAAGCAGAAGTAAGACGGTGCTGGCAGGGTGGAGTCGGTGGGGCGAGTGTCAGCGTTGATTTGTAAAGGGAAGGTTTACATTATGCTCGTGAGACTTTGTGATGTGTGACAGAAGTGTTTGTAGGCAAAGAGAGGCAAAGCTGAGATGGACAAGTGCAGAGGACGCATCGCAGGTGTGTTCAACGAAGCATGTTGATTATAGAGCTGCAAGGAAGCTCCACATTTTGTAGTGAGTAAAAGAGAAAGAAGAGTTTTATAGAAATAGTGAAGGAGGACATGCAAAGGGTTGGTGTGAGAGAGGAGGATGCTGGGATACCATGGCGACACCTACAGAGAGCAGCCAGAAGAACAGCAACGCTGCCATCAAAAGATGTCATTATCACAAAATCTGAAGCACATGCCAGACCGCAATTATCAGACCGCGAAGATTAATGCAGATCACTCCAAAATGCACAGTCCAACCTGTCTGCTGCCTCGCTAGCTAACTTCAACATGCTCACTGACACAGCTGTAAGTCTGGAGACATCCTGCTCAGCAGCTGCATCCCACTGAGGCAGAGGGAGAAAGATATTTCCAAATCCTTAAGCGACTTTGTAACGCTGACATTTGTTAACAACAAGTGCAGTATACACCTGAGGCTGATGGGAACGCCAGTTTTATATGAACACAGCCATAAATCAAAGCAACGACCATTTCCAGAATTTGATCCACTGGTGGTTATAGCAAGGCCAGCACCTGATGGAGCAACACA